CAAGGTGCTGCACCTGGGGAGGAAGAACCAGCAGCATACCTACAGGCTGGCGAACTCCCTTCTTGTCAGTGCAGAGACAGAAAAGGATCTTGGAATCATTATTGATGCCAAAATGAACACGGGCCGACAGTGTGGGGATGCGGTCAGGAAGGCCAACCACACCTTGTCATGCATCCACAGATGCATCTCGAGCAGGTCCAAGGAGGTGATCCTCCCTCTCTATGCAGCACTGGTCAGGCCGCAGTTGGAGTACTGTGTCCACTTCTGGGCGCTGCACTTCAGGAGGGATGTGGATAGCATGGAGAGGGTCCAGAGGAGGGCCACCCGCATGATCAGGGGGCAGCAGGGCAGGCCCTACAAGAAGAGGCTAAGGGACCTGAACCTGTTCAGCCTCCACAAGAGAAGGCTGAGGGGGGATCTAGTGGCCGTTTACAAACTAGTCAGAGGGGACCAGCAGGCATTGGGGAAGTCCCTGTTCCCCTGAGCACTGCCAGGAGTGACTAGAAATAATGTTCACAAGCTGGCAGAGGGTAGATTCAGACTAGATATCAGGAGGCACTACTTCACAGTCAGGACGGCTAGGATCTGGAACCAACTTCCAAGTGAAGTAGTGCTGGCTCCTACCCTGGGGGTCTTTAAGAGGAGGTTAGATGAACACCTTGCTGGGGTTGTTTGACCCCAGTACTTTTTCCTGCCATGGCAGGGGGTCGGACTTGATGATCTGCTCAGGTGCCTTCTGACCCTACCAACTATGAAATTCATGAAGGGAAGTAAAAACCAAGGAAAGGAAAAAAAACTTACAAGTGAAAGTGCACTGTGAGCATAAATAAGTACACACTGATCATGAGTAAATTTAGGCCAGAAATGAGAAGATGGTTTCTAGATATTAGAGCAATTAGTTTCAGGAGCAGCTTGCCAGTGGGAGTAGCAAGGAAACATGCTCCCTCCACCAAAAAATAAAAAATAAGGCTGTTTACAGATGCAGGGGAAACCACCCCCAGTGCTTTAAGCTCAGTGCACCCTTGCACCGAGCGCAGCGCATGTCCAGAAGAGGCACCACATTAGTTGGACGCAGTTCACCCAATGTCTATATAGACTGGGTGCTTCAGCAGGGCTTGTTGGCACTTTTATCTAATAGCTGATTGAATCACCTTTAGATAAGACCGCCAAGACACCTTGCTGAGCTGCATATACAGACGCAGCAGAGCGGGGTCGAACTAATACACTGTCTCTTTCGGTAAAGCACTATTTCCCCCCCCTCCCCCCACATCTGTCAGTGTGAATATGCCCTAGATATGGAGGTATTATAACACAGCACTTGCAATGTCACTGGTAACTACAACATGGGAGTCCCTTGCAATTGCATTTTCTATGAAGCTGACAATATTTTTAAAGTTGGAACTCAGGATCTAGCTGATCCCCGAGAGGGACTTCCAGATACTTCTAAGCAGCAGGAGGACTTGTCAAGGAATTATGCTTTTCCTTGATCAGACACAAATGACATTAAGAAGTCAAGGGTGCCTTTCTCTGTTTTGGAAAAACAACATACATGCTGAATAGCTGTCATGAATATGGGCTTCTCTAAGGCAAAAAAGGCACTAGAGCACAGTCATCATTAATGGGATATGTTATTTTACAAAAAAAGACAATTCTTAAAATGTGCACAACTTAGGATATGACATTTAATATCCGATAGCAGAGATCACTTCTTGACAAGATAGAGAAAATAAAGTAAGGAATATAAAGTTTCCAAATCTATCAAAAATCACCAGAGAGTAACTAACTTAGTGAACCACACAAACAGGATTTTACACATGTACAAGAGACAGAAATACTGTATGGATATGTGGATCCTGAGGAGCTCAGTCTCACAATGAGGGGTTATGAGAAGGAAATGAAAATGGTTCAGACAGTGGTTTAACCACAGTGGACACAACTGGCAAAAAATGTCTTCCCTTTTGAGGCCCCGGGCACACATTACACTTAAGATGCACTTAACTGGTTAATCATGTTTCAAGTTGTAACCATGCCATACATTCACATGATTAACGGTGTCATAAAACAAGGGATAAGCCACAAAGTTGTTCCACAAAAAATGCGTAATAACTTTGCGGCTGATTCCTATCATGCCATTAACTGAACGTGTGGCTGGGAGCCCTGTTAGCTGACGGGGTTTCCAGCTGCAGGATCATACCATGTGCTCCTGCGGTTGTGAGCCCCATCAATTGATCCAGGCTCCTAGCTGGTGGAGGCACACCATGCAGTCTTGTGGCTGGGAGCCCTGTCAGTTGATGGGACTCCCAGCTGCAGGAGCTTGCTATATGGAGAACACAGGAATGTTATCCCAGGCTCCCCCGGCATGAGAAATAAAGAGTGATGGAATCTGATGCTCAAATCTCACATGCTCAGTCCTGCATGGCAGGATGCGTGATTGTGCGGATTGTGCATCAGATCCCATCACGCCTTTATCTGCATGTCTGCCAGGGGCCTGAGTGAACAATGTCCATGCACACCAAAAAAAATATATGTGGGGAAATGTCAGAAAAGCAGCAATGGTTTGGTGAATCACTGTTTATAGCTGTAGGAAAAGAGGGAACCTAGAAAGTGATATGGAATGTGTTCTGCAGATGCAGTTCTTCAGGTAAAACAACAGGATATCCAGGAGGAAACTATCAAAGACCATTTAAAGATGAATGTTTTCTAAAGCTATTACATGGGTTATGCTACTCAACTTCCCTTCAAATGAAAGCATAGAAAATATTAAAAATAATTGATATTTGCAACATAAATCCATAAAAGACTAAAGAAAGAGAAGTAATAGATATTCAAAATATTTTGAGTTAATTGGTTTGAATAATAAAAAAAAATTAAGAGGCTTTACATTTGATATAACTTTCAAATACATAATCCATAGAAAAATAAGGCATTGTTCATATGGCTTTATATACTACATATATTAAGTAGTGTAGTAATTGAAACTAGGTATAATATTAAAAAAAAAGTAGTGTAAATCAGGAATGACATGACAAATTCTCAGCTGGTGTAAGTCAGTTGAACACTGCCAGCTTAACCTGATCTTCATATATTAATATCAGCAGAAAATATGACTTAATATTTTCAGAATAACAAAAAGTTTGAAGTTACCATATACTGTGATGACATCATCAGAAGAGTCATTAATTCATAATGCATTCTAGTATGACAAGAATAAGATAAAGTGTACACAATATATTTAATTCTCACCTGATATAGAGCACTCCATTCTGGTCTATCCGACGTTGCCAACCAACTGGAACTTGTACTGCTGGTGGCCCTCCATCCTTGTCCCCTCCATCACACTCCTTTCCTCCATTCATTTTTCTGCTTCTGCTTATGACTCTTCAAAGATATCAACAGTAAGATGATATCTTTTTATTACATGTCATCATGGCCTTCAAGAGAAGGCCATTCAGTACAGCTTTCCCCAGATTGTACAAAGTGCATTGGAGGCTCCGGTTCAATTTGAAACCAAGTCCTTAAAATCTGCCATTTTTTGTTAATGAGTCAGTATCCCATTATAATCCACATTAAATATGCAATGTTTACCTTATGTATTCATAAGGATTAACTACATGGGTAAAAATGAGTGCTTCCAACTTTGGAAAATCATAATTCACCAGTCCTCTGTTACCTGTCAGAAAGGGAGGGAATGAATTTCTAGTTCAACAGCATGACTCCAAGCTTGATGACCATCTAAGACAACTTGTATTTTATGAAAGCTAGTCTCATTTTTACATATATGAGTCAGAGCCAATATCTCCAGATATTATACCCTTTAGATGCCACATTCTTTTTGCTTTCTCTTTATCTTCCATTCATTATCCAATGTTTCTTCTTGTGATTCTTTCATGACTCCACAACTCCAATAAAACAATCTGAAAAACATAGAGATGTGTAAAACACAGGCAGCCAGATGATTCTTCAGTAAAATTCACTGAAAATTAAAATACCATAAATCACTTACTCCATTTCTTTATTTGACAAGCTCCCAGGCCCTACCCCAAATTTTTTCATCTGCTTGGATTTGATAAAACAAGCTTGTTTGATAAAACACATGGCACACATTGGGCAAACATACCAATGAAAACCCACCATAGGGATAGGTTATTGCAATCTGTCTGAACAACATATATGGTAGTTCACATTGTGCTCACTCTCCCTCAGATTCAAGTGTTTTTCAGGTCATGGTGAGCTACTATATCCAATACATTTAGACTTCGTCTTCACCCCCACAGTTGGGGGTGTGCCTTTCTTTCCAAATTTCCAATTATTCCAGCTTATCAGCCTTAAATGTCTGGCAAACAGCAAACAGCGCCCCAAACAGTTCACCCAGAATCCCCCTGTTGCCCCTCTTTCTCAGCCTGGAGCATCTGATTAGTGTGATTTCCCTGTCCTCCGTGAGGTGGAGCCAGACCAGATTGCCCTGTGCCTCATCTACTTATACATTTTTGGAGAATCTCAGGGCTTGTGACAAGAACACCTGGTTCCAGTCATGACTGGGGAGCTAATTAGCACATGAATCCTTTGGCAGGGGGTATCTGGAATATACACACACATACTTAGCAATGCTGAGATATGGAGTCACCAAGGCTTGAAACACTGTTGACTCCGTTGGGGTCCAGTCCAATGAACTATATGGTAAATCATGCACCTTTTGGTTTTGAACTAATATCATGCAGTTTGTACTGTATATAAATAGGTACAAAATACTGCTTAAAAGTGTTTATGGAATACCTGTGCTACAACTTGTAGCAGTTTCAAACAAGGTAAAATGCATCCATTCTGGATGAACTAAGTCTTTGGGTATCTGTAGTAATTTCTTTACATGCAAATGACCACAGGTATCTTTACTTCAAAGGTAAGTGTTTTCAAATTTGCCCTTCACCTCCATGTGCTGAGGGGGAGCAGCTCTGACAGTAAGGAGGGGGGAAAGAGGCTTCGGGGGGGAAAAGGTTGAGGGGGCAGAGGGCAAGGGGACTACCTGACCCCCCAGATTTATTTTCCCTGCTGTAGTAATGGGAGGGGGACAAATTCAAGATGAACCTCCAATAATTATATTCTATACCTGAAAATTATATCAAATGTATGCATTTTCCATATATAGAATCTAATTATTGAGGGGTTGTCTCATATTCAAGTAAACATGGTAAATTCTTGTATCAGTAAAAGTATTTTAATTGCACTTAATTATATAGAAACTCATTCAATACAAAAAAAACCCAGCATCTCTTGATTTTTCAGTGTAAATTTGCTATCAGTCTGGTATTTTTTCTGTATGGGCCTGAGTACCCATGCAGAAAACTCTGAATTGCCTGAATGACACAGGAAAAATAATAAGCATATATCATATTACTCTATTGTATGAGTAATCCCTATTAGAGATGTTTTGAAAGCAATGGATCATGTTATCCCCAACCAAAAGGAGACAGAAATATCTGGGTTTACAATTAGCTACCTCTAGAAAGGGTTATTAAAGAGAGGCTAAAATAAGTATGCTGTCCAAATTCTAACTATGCTGCAAGCAGTAATCCTAGAAATTAAACATTGAAAAAGTAAGACACTGTTGAATCCCTTACTATGGCAACAATGGCATTATAGCTTTTATTTTAGATATGTGCTGTTTCTGGTTTTTATTTCCTCATTCTAACATTTTCTTGTATCCATCTATTGAACAGATTGTAATAGAAGAAGTGCTTAGGACAGAAATAGTTCAAATATGTTGCATGCAAGACATCTTATGCTAATACATTAAGATTGCAATTTAAAGGGAGTAAAGAAATGCAAAAAATTAGAGTTTTCAATACCAGTGTTAGATTGTTCACATTGAAAATATTTGTCTGGTATTATATGCTTAAAAACAAAACAAAGTGATGTATTTAATAACAACAACAACAAAAAAAAACTTAAAGAGCAAACACCACACATTTCAACATCAACATCACACTGAACACACAGCATACTGAGCTCACAAGACATGTGCATTTCTTGTATTTCATCTTACCGAGATATGCTCTTTATATATTTCAACCTTAAAGAGTTTTTTTTTTTTTTTAAAGATAACTATGTGATACTTACAAGAACAATGTAGGCTGGCAGAATGAGGAAGCAGGATGGATACTCTATGCTGAGTCTCTGCTGAGACTGCAGAGACCTGTAGAGCAGACCTTCATTGGGATAAGGAACTTAGTTACTAGCCTAGGATCCATTTCTCAGCCAGGAAGAAGTATTAGGGCACAACATGAAGCCTTGCCCTGTAGAAATCTAAGGTAAGATTCCCATGCTCCTAAAGTCCCTTATTAGAATGATTACGCAGAAAATATGGAAAAAAAATTGAGAATTAGTGGCTGGAGGATCATATGGGGAAGGCCCTAGTAATAATACAGTTGGGATAAGTCCAATTGCCTCTTTACAGTTTATAAAGCAAAGTGCACACTTTCGTCTGGTACATCTTGTTTGCAGTGCATACTTCTAGACTTCATTACATTTTGTACTTCATGTGTGGGGCTTGCATTTTTGCAGAGAACATGGATGATTCTATTACTAAAATGGCAGGGGTCAGTAGCATTTGTGAGCATAGAGTAGAAACACACCAGCAAGGATGTCAGTAGCATCAGTGAGCATAGAGTAGAAACACACCAGCAAGGAATAATTAAAAAAAAAATGCAAATAACTTCCAGCGATAACCCAAGACACTGTTATTATATGAGAAAGAAAACTTGTGGAACGCAACGTTCCATTATCAGCAGCACTACCTTCTCAGATGGATCCTTCTGCCTTTGAAATATTCTACTTATAAGTAAGTGTCCATAATAGCCTTTAGGTGAAACTCCGTAACACATACAATCTAGGTAGAGGAATGGAGTCTGCACACAGGTGGCAGCTGATACAATATGGCAGTTATCATGAGAAATAAGTCAATGTGGCCATATCACACATTGCTTGGCATGTCCTATGCTGGGGTAGACAATTTTTTTTGGCTGGAGTGCCAAAAAACCCACAATGTCTACCTTGGAAGGTGCTGGAGTGCCAGCATGCCAGAAAAACAAAATGGGGGGATGGCAGAATGTACACGGCAGAATTTACTGCATATTAGTATATTTAATAATCATAAATGCTGCCTTTGTTGTTGTGTATTCCTTTTTGTTGAGCATGTTGTAATGAGAGAGACAGAGAAGTGAGACAAATAAGAGAAAGAGGAGAGAGAGAAAGAAAAAGGAGAGCAGAGAGAGAACCAGACACACACACACACACACACACACACACACACAGAACCATGTGCACAAACAGAGAATCAGAACACACCCAGAACAGACACAAGCACACAAACATCCAGAACCAGACACATGTGTGCGCACACAGACACACAGAACCAGACAGAGGCAGACACGTACACAGAACCAGATGTGCAGGCGCATGGAGCTGGGAGGAAGGAGGCCCAGGGAACTATAGGCCAGTTAGTCTTACCTTGATCCTGGGTAAGCTTCTAGCCCAAATGTCCCTTCAAGCCCAAATGTCTATGAAATCTATGAAATAAATACCTCAGGGCCTATATATATAAATTCCTGCCACTGAAATGATGGGCAAGCACACTACCAGTAAAAGAACCAAACATGAACTGTATGGAAGTCAAGAGAAGAGCCCTAAACTACTACATTCTCTACCACAAGATCTCAAAATAATTTTGGATCTTGTCACTCTCAGAACTCAGTATCTTTTTTTTTTCCTTTCACAAACTTTCCCTCCCACCTGACCAATACAGAATGCTACAAAATGGTATGAAATCACTTCATTCACCCCTGAAACTCAATCATCATGCAAACATAAATTATGTATGTTAGGCAGAAGAAGAGGCCATATTCAGACAACTAGAACATAGTCAAACAACTCAGCTAGTGTCAGACAACTTTGTGTGTCTTAATTTCTGAATCTGGCAAATAGATATGGCAATGAAAAATTAGAAACAAATAGGTTTAATAGATTAACTAAACTTTGGCAAGCTTTAGTTATAATTCAAGCTAATTTTGTGCAGGCAAGTTTTTAGTTGAAACCTTATTTTGTTTTTGTGGATTTTATCTTGGTTATTTAGATGTCTTAGGCCAAATTAACTTTTTCTGAGGAGCAAGACTGAATTAATACAGTATGTAAACAGATTTTGTGCGTAAAGACTGGAATAAGTAAATAGACATCTTATTATTTTCAGTTACAATTCGTTTTGGGGAAATCATTGGTAGAATATATATATTTAAAATATTAAGCCACATGGAAGCAAGTGAGATAAATATAGTAATCTCTTAGCCTGGTATTATGACTGCTTTTGCTTGCTCATGTTGCTGTTTAATGCAATCACACTGGATTCATTACCTGAGAATTATAGCCACCAATATTTTCTTTACAAAGCACTTTTAAGTAACGTTATTTTTGCTGGTTTTGCAATACAATGCATCAGCTAACACTGAATTCTATCCCTACTATGATACTTAACAGCTTGATCAGATCAGCCATTTTCCTATATTACGCCTGACTTGCAAAGATGAGATAAACAGCAAGGTAATTTGCATAACTGCCTATGTGGAAAATTTTCAAAGATTTTTAGCCAGTACAATGAATAAGCACAAACTGCTTGCTTCAGCCATGAATATCTTTTTAGTCCAACTCTTTTTGTCAAGCCTTTTAACCTTGATAAGTTTTGGAGGTTGAAGGACTGTAAACTGTAACATCAGGGTTTTAGCTGTGTAAAAATAGGAGCATTTGTACGAATTTAGAGCACAAGCCATTTGTCATTCACATTTCCTATTTTTTTCAAGTGCAAGTACAGCATACAAGCTAGTGCATGTTAAAACTCAAAACATAAAACAGTGATTGTTGCTGTTCACTT